ACAAAGTTTTTCTTGGCAGTAGTGAATCCTGGTAACATGATTTTTTCATTTTTTTCAAGGACAATAATTCAAAAGATGATGAAGTACTTCAAAGTAATACAATGCGGGACATGGCAAAAGTACAATGAAATAAACTAAATATTTTAAATTTAAAAATATGATTTTCCTGCCACATCAGTGAACAGTGTTGAAACTGTGCTAGTTGTGACATCACAACCCAACCTTGAAATGAGATAAGCGAGGGAGTGACAGCTCTATGCTGCGAACGTAGGGAGTGTTACTCAGATTGATGAACATAGTTATACTAAAGCTAAGCAAGTTGGCTCAGACTACATTTGAAGAAAATGAGTCACTTTGTTAGGATCATGATCCTACCATACTGGAACATCCGGTTGAAATCGCAACGCTACAACAGCAGGTTCCTCTGACTTGTCTGACTAAGTCAGTAAACAAAAGGCTTTACAGCCACACACAAATGGAGTGAGGAGGGGGCAGACTCAATATTGTTTCCTAGCTCCCTTCTTCAATGCTTTTAGGATTTACAGAGAAAATGAAAGGGCTGGGATTAAATTAAACAACCAAGATGATTCTTTTACACTTCATTATAACAAGCACCTTTTGCCTCGCTCAACACATTGTCACAACTCACTTATCATTGCTTCCTTGTCTTCCCCCGGCTCACCTCCGGGTTCTGCCACATCATCCACCTCCTGTCCAACATTTACTAGCCCTGTCAAGCACATTCTGCACCATGAGGCCTACTAATATTGAAGATGACAGAAAGGGAGAGCAGTTCTCCTTTGCCTGGACAGGCATGACTGATAAGGTCAGCAAGGGCACTAAAAAAAGTTTGTCTCTGCCTGGCAACAACCTGACACAAGCCCAGATTAACTTGCTCTCAAACTAATATTTGGTTAGAACAAAACAATGGACTCTGACCTCATTCAGAGGTGGGGAAGCCATTCCTGTTCCTTTATTAAAAACATGCTGCATGATAAAAATATTGTGCTGGCTTTCTGATGATGTTGCAGAACATTTAGCCTTTGGATCAGTTTTGACTCTATACTGCGATTATTGCTGGTGATTTTAAAACATATATTGAGAAACCCGAAGGACAGCAGTGCTAAAGTATTTTCCTGCATTCGACTGACTCAGCATATGATATTATAAATGGCGGCAGCACTATACAATAGATTTATTTACTCTATGATTGAGGTGACCGCTGTTTGTTGTTCATAAAATTGCTGTGCTTGTGTGCAAATATAATGCCCAGTTTAAATCTAATGAAGTCATAAAACACTGAGAACACCAGACCACATTTATTTAGAACTTTTCTACATCATCTGCTTTTACTTTGGCCTCTGCCATTGATTTTTATAAATAATTTACACTGTAGTTACAAAGTTACACAAGTTTTACTGATACCAGTGTTGCTGGAAGAGTTCAACAACAAAATTTCCACAGCCAAACAGAAATGTTCAAAAATGAAAGTGTTTGAAACCAAGTTTTCCTAACTTCAGTTTTTGAGCACAGGAAGGCAGGAGGGCCAGCGCAGTGAAACAATTTTTATAATGGTAACAATGACAAAGGTGTGCAGGTAGGCAATCTGATAAACAATCTGGATCCAATCAAGTGGAAATGGACCAGTATATATGTTTGGATGGTAATGGAGAAAATGGGAACAGGTGTGTAGGTGGGTAGGGAAGATCTGGTGATCGAGAATAGAGATGCATTTCAGTTAAATCTGCACATATGTAGTGTTCACACTGGAGCCACATATACAGTGGTGTGAAAAAGTGTTTGCCCCCTTACTGATTTCTTATCTTTTTGCATGTTTGTCACACTGTAATGTTTCAGATCGTCAAACAAATTTATATATTAGTCAAAGATAACACAAGTAAACACATCATGCAGTTTTTAAATGAAGGTTTTTATTATTAAGGGAAAACAAAATCCAAAACTATAGAGCCCTGTGTGAACAAGTGTTTGCCCCCCTGTCAAAACACTGGTTTATCGCACCTGAGTTCAATTTCTCTTGCCACACCTGTTCGCAATCAAGAAATCACTTAAATAGGACCTGCCTGACAAAGTGAAGTAGACCAAAAGATCCTCAAAAGCTAGACATCATGCCGAGATCCAAAGAAATTCAAAAACAAATGAGAAAGAGAATAATGGAGCTCTATCAGTCCGGAAAAGGTTATAAAGCCATTTCTAAAGCTTGGGGACTGCAGCGAACCACAGTGAGAGCCATTATCCACAAATGGCGAAAACATGGAACAGTGGAGAACCTTCCCAGGAGTGGCCAGCCGACCAAAATTACCCCAAGAGCGCAGCGACAACTCATCCAAGAGGTCACAAAAGACCCCACAACAACATCCAAAGAACTGCAGGCCTCACTTGCCTCAGTTAAGCTGAGTGTTCATGACTCCACCATAAGAAAGAGACTGGGCAAAAATGGTTTGCATGGCAGAGTTCCAAGACGAAAACCACTGCTGAGCAAAAAGAACATAAAGGCTCGTCTCAGTTTTGCCAGAAAACATCTTGATGATCCCCAAGACTTTTGGGATAATACTCTGTGGACAGACGAGACAAAAGTTGAACTTTTTGGAAGGTGTGTGTCCCATTATGTGTGGCGTAAAAGTAACACCGCATTTCAGAAAAAGAACATCATACCAACAGTAAAATATGGTGGTGGTAGTGGGATGGTCTGGGGCTGTTTTGCTGCTTCAGGCCCTGGAAGACTTGCTGTGATAAATGGAACCATGAATTCTGCTGTGTACCAAAATATCCTGAAGGAGAATGTCCGGCCATCCGTTTGTGACCTCAAGCTGAAGCGAACTTGGGTTCTGCAGCAGGACAATGATCCAAAGCACACCAGCAAGTCCACTTCTGAATGGCTGAAGAAAAACCTATTTAAGTGATTTCTTGATTGCGAACAGGTGTGGCAGTAATCGGGCATGGGTGTGGCTAGAGAAATTGAACTGAGGTGCGATAAACCAGAGGTAAGTTATGTTTTGACAGGGGGGGCAAACACTTATTCACACAGGGCCATATAGTTTTGGATTTTGCTTTCCCTTAATAATAAAAACCTTCATTTAAAAACTGCATGATGTGTTTACTTGTGTTATCTTTGACTAATATATAAATTTGTTTGACGATCTGAAACATTACAGTGTGACAAACATGCAAAAAGATAAGAAATCAGTAAGGGGGCAAACACTTTTTCACACCACTGTATGTACTGAACATGAATATTGAAACATCAACACACAAAAAGATCGAATCTCACAAGAAAACTGGCTTGTAATGTGAACATGATCTAGAAAACGTGGGCAGATGGATCTTGGAGTAGATGATTGGGACAGGAAGGAAAATGGCAAAAAACACAGGCAGAATGGCCAAAACAAACATGGCTTTCTTCTTCAAAATGGAGCAAAACTAAACTTAGCTGTCTGTTCCCATGTGCAATTGACTGCTGTTACCCTACAGTAATTGCTGAAATCATTATCTTTCTCTCTCTCTTACACACAATTTTCAAGGGACCAAGATTATTCCTAGCCAAGACATCCTTCAGCTGTGCTTATAATTTTGTCACAATAGTGTGTGCTGTCTTAGAAAAGCCAGTTCCCACTGGGCTTCTGCTGAATTTACAGGAGAATCTCCTTCAACAGTGCTCTTTCAACTAGTAGCCTTGAGGTAATGATATTGATATTAAGTCTAATATAGTCAGAGAATACAGTATACACTCACCAGCCAGTTTATTAAGTACACCTGTACAATTGTATACAAGTCAATGCACCACTTCTGCCTTAACATCTGTGTTAATGAAACCCAAAATGTCTGTTTTTGGTGAAATTTCCATAAATGTATGACTGCAATTATATGTTTATTATTGAGGTCACAGTTAAAGTTGGTGTTGTATTGGACTACATTATATTCAGAGGTGTCTCTATATTTTTGTCCTCCTCAGCTGCATACATGAGACATTCAGATTAATAGAAACACCTTTGAATATAATGTAGTCCAGTACAACGCCACCTTTAACAATGACTTCAATAATAAACACATAATATAATTTACACATTTATGACAAAATCACCAAAATAAACATTTTGAGCTTCATAAATACAGATGATAAGGCAGAAGTGTTGCACTGAATTGCATACAATTGTACAGGTGTACCTAATAACGAAGTCGGTGAGTGTACATCACCCACTAATCCGCCCATAGTATGCCGGCATTAACGTTCCAGGACATCTCTTACTATGTAAAGCTTCATGAATATAAACATTTAAATCCTGTATTACAAGATTAGACTCTCCTTTTTGGTCATTGCAGTCATTTTCAGAAAGAATGCCTTATTGTAACAATACTCCACATAAAGTTTCTCAGTGGATGGAGATTTGTGCATTCCATACATACAGGTGAACATGTAAACACCTGGCTTACTCTTTAGTCCTGTGGTACATTGTTGACACGTCCAGGGTGTTACCACTCTATTTTACTGTTTAATTTCTATGTGTGAGAAGAATCTTATTGTTGATTAATTTGAATAAACATTGTTTAAAGGTGTCTGCATCAAGCTCTTGTTTATATATACTAGAATAAACCGGAGACCAGATGATAGACAGTCACTGAAGCATACAATGAATTGTATCTGTCTGTATGCTTTCACAGTCAGTATACTTCCACAGTAGATAATTAATCCTGGCTAATGAATGATGAATAGCTTGTCTGCATGGCTGACAATAGAAAATCCATAGACAATTAACCAAGGGATTAAATTTAACAGTGTTCAAATAAGATAAACACAGATCCTCTTGGCCTGTTATTTTCAGGATTATATTGGTACTTAGAATAGTAGTAAATCTCATGAGACTGTACCAAATGTATGTAATTATGAAGGACTGTCAGATTTGCCCAGCTACACCTTCCTCTCTTCTTTTTCCTCACACTAGCCTAGCCCTTGCACTGATTACACTATTCAACACACCTACATCCACCTCCAAGTAAGTTAGAAACAATAGTGAATTTACAATCTGTACACCAATTAGCAAAGTTTTATATATAAACCACCTTGACCTCATAATATGTGTACTCCAATCTAGGTCAGCACCACACCAACACTGGGATACCCCGGTTATAGAGTTCCATACTATGAGGCTCAAGATCAAATACTGTCTATGGCTCAACCTCCCTCTCCTGATACTGCAACAGTCAGCTTCCTGGAGGTGGTGAAGAAGAATGACCCACTTCCCTGTGACAAAGAACAGGACATCTTCATCCGGTACACTATAGTTGGAGAGGTTCACAGATTTGTGGATTTGATGTATCTGGTGAGTGGCATATGGACTGTTCATCAGTTTGTCATCAGGTCTCTCAGAGACACAGCACAGTTGTTTTTAAAATAACCATATCAATTATTGGCGTCTGTTCTTAAAGGAACACTCCTAGGTTTAAGGAGATGGCAGCATTGATCAGCTTACCTGCCATGTGAGGAGACTGGAGATGCCAAAATGTTTGTTATTAATCTAAGTGGCAACAATTTAGCGTGCACTACGTTCATATGAGACTATGACCAAGTACTGGTTGGCCTGCTCACATGAAGTGCACTGCTATAACATGATTTTGAGATGGAATTTAGCATCATTATTTGTGAAAATAAAAAAATCAGTATCCAGACAGTGTTGTAATTTGCTGTTGAAATAATTGTACTGCTGTACTACTCATTCCATTTCCTCTCAAATTCCCCAGGTCTTGTCCAGAGGAGCTATCTCTCTGCAAGGACTTAAAAGGTTACAAATCGGTGATAAATCAGGTGGGCAAAGACTGGCTTTAATTATGAGTTCAGGGACTGACATTTTAAATTGACGCTTAATTAGCATGATCAGATTTCTGAACTGCTGCTTTATTAACATTCGGAGGCATGTGAATCATAACAGCTGGTTTGTTTCAGTAACTGAGGGTGAGGTGTCCTTCAAGTTGAAAGTGTCTCCAAAGATGGCGCCAGTTGTTCAGATTGTCGCTTACGTCGTCCTGCCCAGTGAGACGGTGATCGCCAACAGTGCTGACTTCCCCACTGAGAAATGCTTCAGTAACAAGGTTGGTATAAGAAGACGTGCATCTAAAACTCCACTGGCCCGGTGTTTGTTGTAACATCTTCCTCTCCCGTCAACATGCACTGCACCGGCATACTGAGACATTCTTCCTCTGTGGCTACATGAACGGGACATTGTTCCTGCAGGACAACAGATGGAACAAAGGGGCTTGTGGGTTTCACGCCACTGCTCCAGTCATAAGTTAATATGGCCACATTCATCTGTGATTGGCTCTTTTTAAAAGGGCAACGGGTTTTCCCTTTTTCCCCACAGTCTCAACTTGTTTTTATACTGGTTACACACACAGGACTAAGCAGAGATGAGTTAAGATGCACATCCACATCACAGATCTTCCCCTGTGCATCCTCTCTCTTCCCCTCCACTTAGCAACACCCCAAGTTGGCAGTTTCATGTTGAGTTTACTTTACTTTTAAGAGCAAGTAAATATTGAAGATCTGCTCAAATGCTGGAGTTAAACTCAAATCTCTGGCTTTGATTTAAAGTCTGTGTTACACCTGTACATAATATTTCCTAAATTTTCCATGTACTTTGTAGCTATTATTTAAAATTTCAAATTGTGGCAAATCATTTGTGACCATTTAATGATACTGATTTGAATACATACCAGTGGCACTGTGAGGAAAAAGTCCATTTATTTTGAAAAGAGAAGACTAATAAAAAGATATATTTCTCTATATGAAATTTGTTATGCATTAACATATCAAAATAAGCATGTGCACATGGATCCCTTCTGTTTAAGATAAACAGAAAAGACTAACTTCAACTTCACGATATATACATTTTATGTGAAAAAGATGTTGCTTTCTGATTGGTCCAAAACTGTTGGGGAGCAATTGTAGTTTAAACTTAATTGTCCCAAGATTGGTCCTTCAGTCCGTCCATCCTCCAATCATCCTCTCTGCTCCAATGGTTGTGGACAGCACAGGGAGGAAATTCTACTGTCTGAATTCCTACACTCACTTCTTTCTTTGTTACACTATATGTGACATGGCTTCCCGTTTGACTAATTAAACTGTCTTGCCTGTGTGTGTCTGTATATTGGCCTGCCTTTGAAGTTGCTTCCTCTTCCTGGCTTAGATCTAGTCTCTTGTTCATTACCCTTGGTGTCTCAGTGACCCCAAATTCCCTGGCCTCTTCAGCCAGGTGGTGATAATAAAGTAACTGTGGACCCTCCTGGTCAAAGCTGTAAAATCTAATGAGATTTCAGTGTTTTAGTAAACCAGTCTCCCTTGATGTTAAACAGTGCTCCAGTTTGCTTAGACAGTAAATACTAACCAGTGATTCAGTGTACACATAGGGTGATATGTAACTACATAAACATAAACACAACTGTGAGATTAAAGTATATAAACTTATGTATGCCATATAATAAAAACCCTAACTAATTATATTCATTTCTATCTTAAAAATGAAAATCACCCTAACAATTCAACAGTATTTATTGTGATTGGCTATGGATTTTATACACTTCACTTTTAAACAACTTGATTTATGTTTACAAATATTTATTCAGTCCAACATAGCTGCAAGAGCATAGCAGTTTTGTTGATATGGAAATGTACATAATTCATCCCATCCATCATTTGTTTTTTGGTTAATTGGGAGTTTCGGCACCCTTTTGTCTTCCTTGCTAAAATCTCTCTGTAATTACATCCAGAATAATCACAGTCTGAGGCACCTGGTATAGTAAATTAAATATGCAAGACTTAACTAAAGTAAAATTTTTGCGTTTACATTCCTGCACTCAAATCAACTCCTCAATAGGACAAAGATTAGCTTAAACATTACACTTAATATTATCCATTAATAGTCTGTCTTCCTTACTGCCTTTCTGTCTCATCACAGTAGAAAAACACGGGTGATAACTGCTATAATAACATTAATGATGGCTCTGCTTATATGGAGAAGTGAAAATATGTCACTGTGTTGAATGTTGGGACAGGGGTGCCATTTTTGGAAGTAAGTGTCCTCACTCCCAGGTGCTTCTTGTCAAGCTAATGAAGAGGCTCCTTGATTAACCATGATGGTGACTGAGTTTGTGGCTACCTTTCTGAGATCCTCAAAGTACTTTAAGGGAAAAATAAACTTGACATTTTACTATCAACATGTCAGAAGTCACATTCCAAGTAATTAAAGTTTAAGTTAATATTTACTTATGGTGCTGGTGTTTATTGAGATCCATTACACTGAAATACAAAAGCTTATTTAAAAGCAAAATACCTGTCAGGGTGAGTACTTCATTCTTCACATCGTCACGATGGTGAATCACACCATCATGTACAGTATAGGTTACTGTAATTTTCACTGCAGAGTGAACCTGAAAAGCAAACAAGATCAGTGTAGCTTTTTGTGGTGGTTAGTGAGCTCAGAGTCAGGAGTAGTGACAATGTCACATGCATTCACAGAAACTCATTCAAAATTTCATAGCTAATTACCTCTGTTATCACATGACGTCACTGTTCAGGGTGACAATTCATTGCATTAATTAATTATAGGTCAGATTTGAGGCCACACAACTTATCAAATGGATCAAATTAGGAGAGATGGCAAATTTGGTTCCATAATCAGACATTTAACTTGGTTTTGATTACACATAATCACATGGGCATCCAGTGAACTTTTCCTCAGTGACAGTAGTTTTAGATTAAGCTCACCGACAAGATGTAGACATCTGCAGCAATATGTTTTATAAAGTCACAATGTTATGAAAACTACAAAGCCTGAAGTAACTGTTTACATGAGCACAAAGTGCAGACAAACCTTGGCATCGCAATTTAATAAGCCATATTCAGACTTCTGTGAAATTACACTTGTGGGTCTTGAGGAAAAATTCTTATAGCCTGCCTTTTATGCAAATAAAGAAAAAGGTTGCAAGAATAACGTATGGTGTTTACAGTGAATTATGCTGCCCACAATGCATATTCAGCATATAGAAGGTACTCAGTAACGGATGATGATGCTGTACATCTCTCTTAGTTTGAAAAAAATGTGATCCATACATAACCAGATGTTTCAGAGACCTCATGGCTTGCATGGATGGATCCTTTCAAATTGGGAGCTTAAAGAAAAGGTTTTAAATTACCCAACAGCTGCAGGCAGATGTTGGGAACGGGTTGAAAACACTATAATTTTCTTTCATCTGTGAAGCAATGAATGTGGCAGATATGTAAATTGTTACAAATGGCTGAGGAGAACTGACTGGAGTTTTCACACGTCCAATCAAACCTGTTGAGGAGGAAGCAAAATGCTTTTGACTATTAATTTCTGCCATTAGAGGAATTACTTGTCAGTTATTAATCACTAAAACAAATCTATTCAGTGTTGCATTAGCATAAAAATCTGGGGCACTAATAAAACATTTGTTCCAAGAAGTGCAGAAGGTGTAAACCACCAGACATGAAGTGTTGGTAGCACAAGTACTAAGTTTTATGCTTCCTTTCCTTTCCCACCACTGCGGTGGGTAAGAGGCTGTTCTAAAAACGACTGACCTGCCAAGTGGCCTGACACAGACCAGCAGACAAGCACTCCTAAGCCATATGTAGTAGACAAGGTTTGCTGTGTAACAGTTGCCTTATTTAGTGGTGAAAAGCCATGCCTGTTTTTAGAATGGAACAACACCTTCGAAACACTGCTATTTTGCAGGACATCATGTCAAAAACACGGCAGCATCTTTCAACTCCTAATCATATAGATTCAGTGTTTACTCTGACTGAAACCAGAAATTCCACTGAAAAATAAATGATTCCATACTTGTATTTCTTGATCAGCAAACATAACTGATTACTTAAATATGACATGGTCAGGTCAAAAGTTTTAGAATGCCCCAATTTTCCCAGTGTTTTTTTCTTTTCTTTTTTGGTCAGGTCAAAAGTTTTAGAACGCCCCAATTTTCCCAGTGGTTTTTTCTTTTCTTTTTTTTCTTTTTTTTTTTTTTTTTACATGTAAGCAGTTAAATTAAGAAAGTCACCAAAAACTGGAAAAAGTGCATACATTTCTTATTGTGGTGGGAAAACCACTTAACCAGATGTAAAATGAAAAAAAAAACCCCACTGTCTTTGATGTATTTATTAATAAGTAAGAAACAGATATAGAATGCAATTAAAGGTCAGAGGTCAAAGGTAATTTTACTTATCCCCAAGGGAAAATTTGTTGTGCAGCCAGTGGCACAGATACATTCATTGTCACATCACACTTATATCATCATGTAAATCATAAAGACATAAGACACACAGAAACAAACCATGATAAATAAGTTATATTGTTACAATGACTTATTTAAAAAGCCGATGGCAGCTGGGGTAAAAGAGTTCTTGAATCTGTTCGTTCTGCTTCTTGGTAGATTATATCTACGTCCAGAAGGGAGCAATCAATATTTCAGCTGGAAGGTCACGAGTCTAAACCCTCACACAGAGTGATTAGAGTCTGACCCTGAGCACATAGTACAGATATTTTATACGGAGCTGGGTAAAGCTTGCAAAGACAGGAGAAAACCCAGGTACAGCTGCAGTGACTGGCCCTGTGGTTTGCTTCCTGTTATACAGATGTTTGTGCACAATCAACTAAAATTCTTAAAAATACAGAGAAGTGGGAAAGGTTAATGTTTGAGTAGAAGGTCCACAGTCTTAGCAGTTTGCATTGAATGTGTCACTTCCCCATATGGATCTGCATCAGCTTCACGAGGACATATAGTATATGGTAAAATTAACTATAAAAACAGTTACAGAAGATAAATTTGACCTTTGACATTACACATGACCTTTTCAGGGATCCAGTAATAGACTTTTTTTCTGCAGCAGTGGAAGAAAATTAATCTTTGAAAATTGATGCAAACAATTCCTACAGGTGTCCCAATGTTTGGTAATGATTTATAACAAGAAGCTCTATCTGTTCAAAGGCAGTGTTGAGAAAGACTGTTACTGCTCCCTCTGAAGCATTCATCTATCCATTATCCATACCGCTTATTCATGGAGCCAATCCCAGCTGACATTGGGCAAGAGGCAGGGTACACTGGACAGGTCGCCAGTCTATTACAGGGCTGACATGTAGACAAACAACCACACTCACTCACAGGGGCAATTTAGACTCACCAGTCAACATAAATTGCATGTCTTTGGACTGTGGAAGGAAGCCAGAGTACCTGGAGAGAACCCATTAAGGCACAGGGAAAACATGCATACTCCGCACA